TGGTGACATTTAACATGCTTCCCCGTGCGACGTATTTCTAACATTGGTAGTTAGATCTCCTGCCTAAATCGGATTCTGGTTAGATTTGTGTCTGTGCATGTTTATGTCAATGTTAGATAAGCTGACTCCCTAGCATCCTCCAGAGGTGACTGATGAGGTTTTTTCCTTTTTATTATCCATATGAACTTGTGGATTTAATCATATCGGTGGATGTCAAATCAGTGCAGTTATTACCTTTGTTGATTGTCCCACTCAGTGGGAACTTCTTCAAATTGACTCCTGACTTCTTTTGCCATGACCTCAGTACTCTTATGTTGACACCTAAAACTAATATGATTTTAAGTCAATTTAAAAAGAAAGATTTCAAGCCCAGCTGCTATGGCTCAGTGGTTGAGTGTTGACCTATGAACCAGGAGATCATGGTTCAATACCCGGTTAAGGCATGTGCCCGGGTTGTGAGCTCCATTCCCAGTGTGGGGAGTGCAGGAGGCAGCTGATCAGTGGCTCTCTCTCATCATTGATGTTTCTATCTCTCCCTCTCCCTCTCTCTCTCTGAAATCAATAAAAATATATTTTAAAAATATTAATAAAATAAATAATTTTTAAAGGAAATATTTCAAGATTACATTTAGTCAACATTTGTCCACTTGAGAAAAGGGCACATGGACTATAAGGCAGAGCCCTCCAGATCAATCTGTGTGCTTTTGTAGGAGGGACCCAGAGTCATTGAATATGCAGACCATTTCCTCACCCAGATCAAAGGGGACAGTAGCTGCCAGTCAGCCTATGGTGGCTGATCTTGAAAAGGACTTCTATCCCACCGGGAGCAAGAAGGTTATCAAGTGCTGGTAACTGTCATTAGTTTTCAAAGAGGATTCCCAGAAATCAGCGGGTTAATTTGTATGCCAGGAAGGAAACCTCTGTCACCTGGCTCAGCAGCTGAGGCATGAAGAACATTTGCTTCTACAATTTATCCAAACTAGTATGCCAAAAAAAAAAAAAAAACTTTAAATAGCATTCTTGCAAGATTGCAGTGTACCTCCTTCTAATAGCTGCCAGGGTTGGTGAAGATTGTGTACCCTGTAACCCTGGTCCCTGCAGAGTCCACAGGCATGCACTACAAATGAGTTACCACTGCTGCTTTGCCACCCTAACCTCTGTGTGGTGTGGGGGTGGTGGGGTGGTAGGGGTAGTTCTAACCTGAGGGTTGTATGGGTAACAGACTCTCAGAGCTAGGGCTCCATTTTTCTTTAAATTTAAATCCCTGTGTCTATCAAAAATTTTTTGAAATCTTAACCCACCCCCTCTAAGCTCTCCTCCCTGAAAGTAGTTGTCCTTTCAGAGTCCTTTATTTAGGAAAAGAATAACAAAGCATTACTATGAATTTGATGACTTCTTAAAATGGATTTGTAATTTATTGATTTCAGGAATTCCTGTAGAAAACCATGTATAAGTGATATTTATTTTTACTCTATCTACAGATGACATTTGGGTGTATATGAAAATCTGTGGACGAGTTGCCATACTTAATCTACTGATTGGCTTATAGAAACAGCTTGGTACTTGCCACTTAAAAGTATAAGACAAATTTAAAGTGAGTGGCATAGATATTTAAGAATTGTCTAGGTTCAAAGGAAGGAGAGAGTGCGATGGTATGTGGTGAACAGAGGGTCCTTAAGAGGTGTAACTCTTGAGTTTGGCTATGAAAGTTTAAGAGAATTATCAATATGGAAAACTTGCAAAGAAATCACGAAATGGGCCAAGAGGGTTTGCTCTGTTGGCAAACAGCATTAATTAGTTAAATCAAGCAAAGAACAGTGCACATTTTAGAACCAGACAAACCACTGAGCTCATGAGCTGTGAGACCTTGGGTAAATTACTTGAGAGTAATCAACGTTTCGTTTTATCTTCAATAAAACAGAATAACCTGTCCTGAACATGTCACGGGAGAGTTGTGAAGATCAAATAAGGTCAAATAAATAAGAGGCAGCATTTTCTGAACTGTAACGTTACCAAATTAATAAACATCATTATCTTTTAAAGGCACAGATATGCCCATGCAACTGAGTAGGCCACTGTGTTGGTTAGGATTCTTGGTCTGCAAGCAACAGAAATGATTTAACTAAGCAAAACAGAATTATTGCAAAAAAATGTGGTGGGGGATGGGATGGATGGGAAGAAGCACACAATATAGCTCACAGAATCAAAGGAAAGCTGAAGACTCAGGCTCAGAAACAAGAACCAGGAAACAGTGCAGTGGGAGAGATGGGTAGCAGCAATTACTTAATGGTCTCATTTGTTTTTTCCTCCTTGAGTCATTCCACTCAAGTCAAAGTCCCACCTTGGGAGAGTCTAGGGGGCAGGGCATCTTGACTTAATTCCCATTGAAACTGTGAAACCATAGAGGAGAGATAGTTTCCCTTAAGGAAGTTAAAGGTTCTTCATGAGAGAGGAGTAGAGTGAACAGTGATCACCAGAAAACTACAAAATATTTCAAAAGAGCGTTCATGCCTTTATTGCAATTATATGTATAGACCAACTTGAAATTCAACTGTGAAGAATAGTGGAAACTCAGCCTAGAAAAGTAACAGTTAAGACTAGTGCAAGTGAAATGGCCTGTTCCAGTTACTGGAATATATTTCAGGCTGTTTGCTTCCCCGCGGCCTTCCCAGTGGGGCTGGGAGGAGGCAGCTGGCTGTTTCTGGGCCATAGGTCAGTGAGGAGTACGTTCGCTTGGAGAGTCATTACACACTGACCCTTGGCCTTGGCTGATTTTCCTCTACTTTCATAGATATCGATATCGGTACATGAGTTGAACTGGGAACTTTGAGTGGTGTTACAGCTGCAATAACTGATTCGTGTCAATCACCTCTTCTCTCTGATTCTCCCTCACTCTGGTTCAGATAGCATTCAATAAAGCTTGCATGCATGAATGAATGAGTGAGACTAGTTAGATCCTTTTCAGGGAATTAAAGGAAATAGCATGTATAAAATACATAGTTGGTTCTTGACATGAAATAAGCATCCAATAGATGCTAGAGCAATGGTTATCACACTAACAGAAGGAAGAGGAATAAATATGATGATGATGATGATGATGATGATGATGATGATGATGATAGTGAGTATGATCACGGTTGGCTTTGGATTCCAATCATATCCATTGCAATCCTGGCTCTGCCACTTACCAACTGTAAAGCAATGGCTTTAGTTCAGTCTCCATTCGCACATCTGTCAAAACCTCTTAAGGCCACTGTGAGGACTTAATGGCAGGTTCCTGGAACATACTATGTGCTCAGGGTAGGTAGGCTTGGCCCTGAGAATGCAGAGACATGCACTTTTCTTTCTGGGAAGAGTTTGTCTTTTCCTGGCCATTTTTCTGTTAGTGAGACATCCACCGGGGTCAGTGCCTTCAATAGAAGGCTGGGTGGGAAGAGAAGTTGCTTAGGTGAGCTTCATCCACAAGCTAAGAGAAGCTGTGAGGCAGGGAATCAGAAGGGAATCCAAACTCCTGATTCAATTAAGGGCCTGGCAGGGTTAGAAGGCGTGACAATGCCCTCCTGTCCTTGGTCTCTCCTCACAGCTCCCAGGAGTAAGTTTCGGCAAATGCTTCAAAGGAAGCAGGGCCTGAGGGGTTGTCTTTGGATGCAGCAGGGCCCACACACTCCTCTCCACAGCCCATCTTGGGGAGGGAAGGAAGGTGGCCCAGGGGACAGGTGGTTAGAAAGGGCAAGGTCATGTCTCCTCTTGGAGTCAGACAGAGGACCCAAGGCCAATGCCCAGAAGCAAAGCCAAGCAAGGGGCACTTTAAGAGGAAGGTCCCTGGGACAAGAAAGGGAAACTTGGCCATTACCAGGGATTCACCAGGTCCCATTCAACAGACACCGGGGACTCGCTGCAGCAAGATCTTTAGCTCTCAGTCTCCGAGGCCACTCCTCCCTGAACTGTGTTTGGACTCAGAAAGCCAGCCGCGAGCCGAGTGGATGGATCAGAGTGAAGCACACAGCTTAATCAGGGCACGAAAGCAGCTGACAAATTATAGCATGATTTGTCATCATCTCAGAACTCGGCAAGTGTTTGTCCCTGAAAGAATCGATACCTGGAGGGAAAAGGGCCATATTTTTAGAAACTCCTGGATGGGTAATTTATTTCAAGTGACTGGAGAGTTTATTTATGCTGGTGCCTCCACAGATCCAATGGACAGTATATTTACACGAAGCCAGAAAATGCTATCATTTCTTCTAATCAATTTGCCCCTTTGAGCAGCTGTACCTTGGAGCTTTCAGCCATAAATTCGCTCCCTGTGCTAAGAGCTCTACCCAAGCAACCGTTTCCAGTCCCGCCCCTAGCATTTCTTCCTTGCTTAGCACGCTGCTCTCACTCCTCTCCCACATGGATTCTGTCTCCTGGGGCACAAATGAGATGGACACGAGGGGGTGGCACTAGTCCCATTCTACACATGGGGAAACTGAGGCTCGGGAGTTGAACATAGTAGTAGTCCTAGAATTAGAGAGCAAGATTTCCCCACCACTAGTTGTATCCCCACCCCCACTGGACCAGAAAAGATTATACAATAAAAAACCTAATGAAAGAGAAAAAGTGAGGAGTCAAGGAAGTGTTTCAAGTACTTGGCTCCAAGAATGTTCACCAGGACAGTGTGCTGTGCAAGTAACACCAGACAGTCTGCTGGTGCCTCCACAGATCCAATGGACGAAGCCAGAAAATGCTATCATTTCTTCTAATCAATTTGCCCCTTTGAACAGCTAGCTGTACCTTGGAGCTTTCAGCCATAAATTCACTCCCTTTTCTCTGCTGTAAATCAAAATTTTATTTGCATCTAGGTTCTCCTCTTTCATGAGGATTTAACTTTGTCTTCTAATACATGACAACTATCACATTGCGACAAAGCAGGGATTATCTTGTTCGCAACAATTAGCGGCCCAATGATCTATGAAAAGTAGATCCCTCTTAATAATCTTGTGACATCCTCTCTTTCACAGGAGGCCCAGTTCAAACCAGAACACTTCCACAACACCATCGTGTGTGAGAAACCCAACAACCGTCTCAACAAATTCAAGGGTTACATGTAAGTATCTCATGCCCACGTGCCGCTGGTAAATATCTCCTCTTCAGCAAGAAACATTTTTTCCTTAAAATGGCCTAACAAATAAGCATTCGGGTCCTGAGGAAATTTCTTTCTTTTTTTTATCACAAAGAACAGCTAGAGAAACCTAAGTGAAACCTGCAGGAGGTTTGGTGTCTGTGGCCTGGGTTCCCGAGTCCTAGGATGCCCCATGTCCTAGGTGTGTGGCTTTGGGCAACTCTGTTAAC